AAATAAAACTACACTTTTGATGGGAAAAAGCCTGTACGGCATAAAAAACCCATTTTATTTTGAAATGTATTGTATGTGTATCGTATAAGGATGTCGCTTGCTTTCGTGTTCGGCACAAAGATCGCCTTCACGATCCGTTGTAATACACGCATTCACTCTGGAATTTTGCGAGCGACTAACGCATAATACAAGAAACGCACAAACCAGATCACGCAATGACATACAAAACGTATACAAGAAACGTATAATATCAGATTATACACTGATATATAAGAAACGTATAATATCAGATTATGCACTGATATATAAGAAACGTATAAGAAAAACGTATATTAGAAACGTATAATAGCAGATCACGCAATGATCGCTACACAAAGAAAGAACGACTCGCACGTGTGCACACGTTGGACGCTACTTCTCGAATAAATCCCACGCACAAGACATACACACCGTTGCGCTGTGGCGCGATAATTTTTGATTGGCGCTGTCGTGTTAGTGGCCGAGAGAGTCTTTTATCTATGCGCTCATTAATTACCGACCGTCGTATATTAGTACAGACGAAACTTAATAAACTAAATATTAAGAATAACAAATATTTATTGTCCCAAACGGGAAAATTAAATTAAACTTAATCACTGGACTCGTGAATATTTCACATAAATATATTCGCCATTCACCGAACATCCTCCCCCCGTTGGGAGTGCAACGAGCAAAACGAATTCGTTTAGGTGTGCGTCTGTGCATGCAGCGGACGTTCGATTCTTAACAATAACGCTTGTTACAATTGTCGCATAAATTTCAAACAACAAGATGACTGTTTTGCAAAGCAATCGCTTGTTGTTACGCATTGTCGTTTAAACATTAAATGATTTAAATCGTTGAAAGCAAAAATAAAAATTACATCTTCTTGGTTACATAATAAATGAAATTAAAGTCTTAAGCGTCCGTAGGTAACGGACAGAGAGAAGTCGCATTTCTTTTGAATGTTCCGTGTGAGGTTTTAATCGTGACCACTTTGACTACGCCGTCGTCCCCTGAATGTAACTCGGCCACCCATCCCAGCCTCCACTGCATACAGTGTTGATTTTTGTCAATTAGTAAGACAATAGAGTCCAGTTTCAGATTAACATCCTTTTTAATCCATTTTTGTCGTTTCTGTAATTCCGTTAAATATTCTAATTGCCATCGTCGCCAAAATTCTTGTCGAATCTTTGTAATCAATTGCCATGATGATAAGCGATTATCTGCAACACAAGAGAAATCATTTTCCAGCATTGTGAAAGGTCTGCCAATAAGCAAATGTACAGGCGTTAATGCGATTGGATCGTTTGGATCAGTAGAAAGAGGACATAAAGGTCTCGAATTCAAAATTGCCTCGATTTCTACCGCTAGAGTGTTCAATTCTTCGTATGTAAACAAGAGATCGCGCATTACCCGTTTTAAATGGTGCTTGCTCGACTTCACAGCGGCCTCCCAGAGGCCGCCGAAATGTGGTAAATTCGGTGGATTAAAATGCCATTCGATTCTGTTTTCTAAGGTAAACTCATGCAATTGAGTACAAAATTCCTCGGATCCCATTAGGGCGTACAGTTCGCGGATTGATTTTTTGCGCCTACAAAATTGGTTCTATTGTCTAAGTAAATATGCGCCGGAACACCTCGACGACTGACGAATCCTTTCAGAGATGCTATAAAAGCATCTGTTGATAAATCGGTTACAATTTCGATATGAATAGCCTTGGTTGACATGCATATGAATACACCCGTAGACTTTGATGCTACTGCGATTACGATGCTTTTTCTCCTTAACGAGAATTGGGCCAAAATAATCGATGCCCGTGTGATAAAACGGAGCCACGTTATCGAGTCTTGATTTTGGCAAATCTACCATTTTATATTTCGCGTTCTCGGAACGAAAACGTGCACATCTGACGCACCGACGAATGACTCTACGCACTTGATTGCGACTGTCAATTATCCAGAAACGTTGTCAAACATTATACAGTATCGATTGTATTCCCGTATGATAAAATTTTTCATGAATGTACCGAATGTAAAGATCCGTGTCGTAGTTGCAAGACGGTAAAAGAATTGGGTGTTTCTGATCAGACGATATGTTGGCCTTATGAATTCGTCCTCCGACGCGCAATAACCGTGTTCGTCAATTATTGGGTTTAACGATCCAAGCTTTGTGCATTTTACCTCTCCGCCCGTTAATAAACGATTTATTTCGTTTTGAAAATGAGTCTGCTGTATGAGCTTCACGATGCGTCGTTGGGCTTCCTCTATCTCGTTGACTGATAAAACGCCGGTGTTTTCGTTGAAACGCAAGAATCGTAAGCAATATGCGACTACTTGTATTAATTTAGTATACGACGAAATTTGTCTAATATCTCTTCGGAATGAATTTGTACCGTTAGACATGTTGTCTTCTTTATTCCGGGCAATTCGTCTGTATGTGTTACGATAGAGCGCGGCCATTCGGCTTCCGATTGCGAGAGCCACGATGGACCTTGAAACTACGTTTCGTTGTTTAAAAATTCTTGAGGTAGTTGATCCCTTGATAACGCGTCCGCTGGGTTGTGTTCCGTGCGAACATGCCGTCACTCGATTCCTTCGCTAACTTTCTGAATTTCTCGTACTCGATTTGCTTCGAATTGTTTTAATTTGCTAGGATGCTTGTTTAACCATGATAACAACGCTATCGTGGAATCCGACCAAAATATGATCTTATTAGGCTTAAACGTGAGTATCGCATGTATTTCGTTGTAAAGTTGAGCGAGCATTAATGCTCCGCATAATTCTAGACGAGGCATAGTCTGTTCCGCAAGTGGTGCGACGCGACCCTTAGAACACAAAAGCCGCATGAGAATTTCGTTATTTTATTACTCGAACGTACGTATATGCAATCTCCGTAAGCGGCCTTGCTGGCATTGGAAAATCCGTGAAGTTGAACATTGATCGCATCGTTTATCAGTACATTTCGATTTATTTCTAAATTATCAATTAATGCGAGCTGTTCCGAGAAGGACTGCCAAACATTTTGTAACGCGTGGGGAACGGATTCGTCCCAATCTGTTTTTGCCTTCCAGCATTGTTGCAGAAGGATTTTAGAAATGAGCATGACCGGACCAAGTAGGCCGAGAGGGTCAAAATCTTAGCGATTTTGGATAAAATGAATCGTTTATTAATCCTCTCGGGACGCTCAATAGTTTTTAACCGTATAAAATAATTCATCGCGTTGCGCATTCCAGGAGATGCCTAACGTTTTTCGAATCGGATTTTTATCAGTAAGAAATTCTAGATCGTTAAGTCTTTCCAATAGATTTTCTAAAGCTTGCGGACGATTTGATGCCCACTGGCGTATATCAAAACCACCGCGTTTCAATATTTCAATGACTTCATCCCGAATGTGAATAAGCTCTTCAAGCGTATTTGCGCCTTATAGTAAATCATCTACGTAAAAATCGTTGTGCAAGATCTTTGCTCCTATCGGAAATTTGAGCTTTCATCGCTCGCGAGTTTTTGTATTGTTCGAATAGGTAGGAACGGCGCCGATGATACACCGAATGTTACCGTATTTAATTGAAAAACTTGAATTTTATCCGCGTGAAGCCAAAATTCGTTGATATCTACGATCGTCCGGATGTATCCAAACTTGTCGATACATCTTAGCTATATCGGCCGTCAATACGTATTTGAACGTACGAAAACGCACGAGATGTTTGAATAATTTTAATTGAATGGTCGGACCGATCATCAAAGTACCGTTTAAGGAAATGCCTTTACTCGATTTCGCGGAGGCATCGAAAACTACTCGCGTTTTTGTAGTTGCGCTGTGGCCTTTATGACTGACAATGAATGATGCAGAAGATAATAACTTGCTTCTGCTTCGTCCCAATGATTATCCAATGATTATCGTCGATATTGTTGTTTTTTCAATAAGAAAGAGTTTCATCAGACGTGGAGAATATCGAATGGTTGAGATGTTTCTTTCTAAGACAATTCATCACCTCATTTGCTATGTGATCTAATGACGTTTTTATATGCAAATAAGATACATTCTTATTTAGTTGAATATATTGTGCGAAATAAAAAGCAGTCCATGCCAAAAGTTGTTCTCGGTTATTTTGTGTTATAAATGTATCCTACATATTTTTTAAGGATTGTAATTTTAAAAAGTGATCTACTTTTACATTACTATATCTTTCGATTAAATCGCGAATAGCTTTCCTGAAAATAAAACAATTCAATAAATTTTTTAAATAATAAAAAATAATAAAATTTATTAACTAAAAATTTGTATTTACTAACCAATAAGTATAATGTGTTTGTTTCATCGAATTATCCTTTATCTTTCTTAACAATATTTTGTAAAATCTTTCGGTTAGATTGTAATTAGATTTTCTGGAAAATTTATATTAATTGAGCAGCAAGTATATAAATTTATGAAATTAATAGCACTATATCTTGAAAATCATACCGTGAAATTGTGTTAGCAAGTTTTTAATCTCATTAATATAGAAAACACATTTTATGATATCATTATAAATCTTTTTATAAGTGCCAAAGTTTTTCCAAATTTTTTTCAAAAATTTATCTAAACATTTTGCATCTTGAAATTTTATTAATATATTGATTAACATAATGTAATTATATTTGTTTAATCTTTTATCAACATAATTTTGAAAAATTATTTGAGACATATAATTTCGCAAATCTCTCGAACAATTTATTCCCGTTTGTATAAAGTTTAGTTTAAAGCTTTTTTTTATTCTTCTGTACGTTTTTCTTTCAGTCTCCTTTAGCTCATTTTCTTTAAGGACGTTCTTCGGCTACAATCATATCCAAAAGTATAATGCTATTCATCAATGTTTTTGTATAGGCTTTTTTTTCTCTCCACGAGCAAATTTTTTGCAGTGACTGTCGCACACAAACGTAACTTCAGCATGTACATGTACACTAACGTATTCGGGCAGTCAGAAAGAGCTGGCAACATCGTACTTTCGCGACGAGTTGAGACTTTTAACAGGAAAATTTTCGCGCGTAACCTTCAAAATGTCTTGTCAAACTCGTGCTTCTAATGGTAGATTCGCAAAAAGAAAATTATTAGACAGAAATAAAAAAACCTTAGAAGCTATGACAAGAGCGAAAAAAAGTGCAAGATATAAGAAGATATAAAGAAAAAATTTTGTGAAGGAAGACGTATTATAGAAATTGAAGAACTTGCAAAGAACCTCGTTTGTTGCAATTGCAACGAAGTATTAAATTTGAAAAACATTAAAACGGAATTACGTTTAGGTCTGCATTCAATTTTAAACATAATTTGCAAAAAGTGTGGAATAGAAACTCATCAAGTCCACATCAAATGGGAAAATAAGTAATGACGGAGATCATGTTTATGCAGACACTAATAAAACTGCTATACACTGTAAAAAAATTTTGTAAATTTACATTAAAAATATGTAAAATTACATAAATAATAAATGTAAAATTACACGATAAATAATGAAAAGGTAACATTTTTATTATTTATCGTGTAATTTTACACTTATTATTTATGTAATTTTACATACTTTTGTGTAATATATTACATATTTTTTTACAGTGTACTGGGTAAGTTATTTTGTTTTAACTAATTGTAAGCTTAAAAATATTTTTCAATGCTTATCAGTCATTAGTAGGACATTTGAAATATATATATATATATATATATATATTTCAAATATCCTATATATATCCTATATATATATATATATATATATATATATATATATCAAATATCCTACAATAAATAATTTTTTATACTATATATATATATATATATATCTATATATATATACAGGGTTTGTCCGGAAATAAGTGTACTGAGCTCGGGAAAAAAAATTTATTTCAACTGGCTTGTACTTTTCCATACTTTAAGCTAATATTCCTCAAATAGGACCCTTGTGAATCGATACACTTGTCCCAGCGGCGTTCCCATTCCTGGAACGCTCTCGCGAAGGCATCATCGGGGACCTCTCGAAGACACGTCGTCACGGCCTCTTTGACGGCGTCCAAAGTCCCGTAACGCGTTCCTTTCAAACTCCTCTTTATCTTGGGGAACAGAAAGAAGTCCGGTGGTGCCCAGTCCGGGCTGTAGGGCGGGTGCGGCAGCGTTGTCACGCCGTGCTTGGTCAAGAACTCCGACACGACAAGCGCGGTGTGAGACGGCGCATTGTCGTGCTGCAGCCGCCAGGTGTTTTTTGATCGCTGGCCGGACGCGGGCGACTCGTTTTCGAAGCCTGTCGAGCACTTGGACGTAAAAGGCAGCATTCACAGTTTGTCCTTCAGGTACAAATTCGTGGTGGACGACTCTTGATGTCGTTGATGGGCGTCCAGGCCGTGGTTCGTCGTCGACGTCTTCTCTGCCCTCCACGAACATCTTGTGCCACCGAAAGATCATGTTTCTGGACATGGCTGACTCCCCGTAAGCCTGGTTAATTATACCGACAGTTTCGGTAGGCGATTTCCCAAGCTTTACCGCAAATTTGATGGAATACGCTGCTCCAAAAACTTCGGCATCGCGTTCCGTGACGTGGGTCGAGCGTAGAGGTTCGCGTTAACGGAGCTCCTCACTACACCACAGCTCAGAGCCGGTTGCCGTTTTCAGCGTCGCTTGCCAACATACCCCCCTTCACTCCCAGCCCGTCAGAGCGGTGCTGGGCGCGCCTGGAGCGGCGGGAAAAATCAGTACACTTATTTTTCGGACAAACCCTGTATATATATATATATATATATATATATATATATATATATATAGAGCCAAAGCGCGAAAAATAATTCTTAATATTAACAAATGTTTTACATTTGCGATCGCGCAAAATAAAGGGAAAAGCAAAGAATTAGCAAGCACATTACAAGCAATTCCAAATCACTTATATGGACATCACGAAAATTGTGGAGAATGGTGTAAGCGTCAAGATGACAATGCTTTACAAACAGTAAAGTTTAAGGATTCATCATTATGTAATATCAAAAAAGTGATCCGTTTGCCAGTTGAAATATTGAAATAATGATACCAGGGAATCAATTGACCAACACTGGCTAAGGTGAAAAATCTTTTATTGAAAAGACGCAACGTTTCGACTCTGAATTGGGTCCTCTTCAGGCTACAAATTAAATTATAAATCTCAGTTAAAAAAAATGAAAATGACAGTAAAAATTGAATACGGAAAATCATACGTATAATAGTGTTAAAAAATATTTGTTACAAGTAAGTGGTAAAAACTAAATGATCATAATGTCCGTTTTTTGTCAACGATCAGAACATGACAAGATATCAGTAATAAACGAACCGAAGTGCTCACTCTGACATATAACATTACATTAAAACGAACAAAGACAATATCTCGAATAAATAACACAATTAAAAGAGAAATACAAGTCGACCAAATAAAAAAAATTTAATAAGCAAAAAATATATAAACAAAGGACAGTTCTAAAACATTTTATAGGTGATAAAAACAAATTATATATAAACTCTACTTAGATAAAAACAAAAATAAAATAAAATAAAAAGAAAAAATTAAAAATTAATAAAATAAATACCAATTTGGAAATACAAATTAAGGAGCATAACTCAAATATTAAAAACATGTTACATCTCATTCTATTATCAACGAACACAGAACGTTATTTTACCATGATTTTGATTGGTCTAATGTGTCCATTTTACATAACGAAGTGCATGTAAAAAAGAGAGAAATAAGCGAGATTTCATCAAAAAAACAACAGAATTCTATTAGTTTGCAAAGGGACACAAAAACTTAAATGATATGTATGATACTATTTTGAATTTATTTTAGATATCGGTATTTATTTTATTAATTTTTAATTTCTTCTTTTTATTTTATTTTTGTTATATATATTATGAATTATTTGAATACATATGTATTCAACTTTTATTCAAAATTACATTAAACATTTTTGTAATTAAATATTATACTTGCCACACGTACATATACACACACAAACACACATGCATACTATGTAATATAAAATTAAGTATCTTTCAATATGTAATGCAATGTGTTTAATTTTATTTAAAGTAGTATTAAATATTTTCTAATTTCTTAAGAATTA